ATACCAACACCATGTGGAACCACTCAGCACCAAACCAAATTATTTTCTCTGGCTTGCCTACATGTGCATGTAACAACACCCAACTTGAAGACGAGTGGTTGATTGGAAATACAACATGCTGCCACACTTCTGATTTACAGCTGATGGTGCATTGCAATAAGACCAAAATTAATGAGAGCAGGTGTTTTTTTATTTGAATCTTATGGCTTCCACCTCCAAAAATCATGGCACCTTATGCTCCATTGATGTAGCTGAATCAAAAATGATTTCAATCTGATGTGTTGTATGATGCTCAATCGTAGAGCCCTTCATCAAGAAGCACAATGGAAGAAGGGGGGAATCACAAGAGCTTGAAAACTACAATTTCATGAGTGTAATTTGGCCAGCTGAGATTGTATTGGAACAGATAAGATCAAAAAAGTTGGTTTTGGTTGAACTACAAGAAATGTACTACAGTTGTTTTCCCAACAATCCCAAGTCTCTGCAACCATAAATTGGATGTTTGTCAGCGACAAAGTATAAGAGTAGATGGCTTTGTGCTAAACAAGAATGGATATGACTGTCCTTGACAAAATAGCACATATATTGACCAGCTGCTAGGCAGACGCAACATTGCCGGTTTCAACAAAATCTTTGAATTTGATCGGTCCTAACAAGGGTTAAACATAGTAGTCAGTAATGCTGAATGCCAGGTGAACCAAAGTTGTGTCCAAACCTTTTCCAAATCGGTTCCTTCTGGCCATCCAAGTTGAATTCACATTGGGAAGAGCCCAGTTGGGTATTTTGTGGTCATGAGCGTTGGAAACCAGTTTACATTGGAGTTGAACACAGTTGTTCCAATTAACCCAGTCACGGGAAAGATTTTCTTCGATGTTGGCAGGCAAAGGTGTACTACTAGGGGGAGATTTCATTCCTTCTACAACAACATCTATTCTATCTTGCATTGCTTTAATCCAACGAAGCTGGGTGTGATTGGCCTTAAATGTGGTGGGCATTATTAGATGTTCAACAGGTGGAGATTTCTTGAGCGGAAAAAATTTGATAGAGGATGGTGCAATGATTGCGACAAACTAAGAGAGCGTCTGGTTTTTAAGTTCAGGTCACTAGAACAGTTTGAGTTCATGAGCAACACCAGGAGAACTGGTATTCGAGAGTATCTCCTGCAACGTGTGTCATTAGTTAGAAACTAATCATCTTGTAGTTTACGCGGGCATTAACAATGCAAATCATCTATTTATTTTGACCACATGTCAATCACCACTTCAATATAACCTCAGAAGATTTGCATGTGAGAGGCTTTCTGATGCAAGAATTTTCTGCATTGTACAAATAAATCATCACATTGAATGGCTCCTGATTTGTTTCCAGATCTGCAGATAGCAGTTTATTGCTGTGTACATATTTGCACTGGGGAATTTAGTGTAAAAGCAGACGACAATACATTGAGGCTGCCTTGACAGTGGTATTGGATGGTAGAAGTTCTGCCAAAATCCTGCATATTCCAAATAGCTGTGCCAGCATATCCCCTGGATAGGGGAAAGGGACCCTACATCTTAAGGCTTACAACTCGTGTGAATCTCACAGTCCAACCCTCCAGCCACCCACCACTCTAATACTTGTCAGTCTTTGATTGTCATATTCCATGCGTACCATACATCCTACCTATGTATGCCATTGCACGTCTTACGGATGCAATGCAACCCAGCACAAAGAAGACGGTATTGGGGTGGTCCCAGGTAGAGTACTTTCAAGGGTTGTCTATCAAAAGCACCAAGTTGAAGAAGCACGATTAAAATCAAAGGTGATGGAAGTTGTCCCTGATCCGCGGGTTGAAGGGGGTAGCTCATCTGAAGTAAGGTGCCACTATTCCCCATTCAAGCGAGTGGTCATTATGCTGATAATGGGTTCTGTGGATTTTGTATGAATGATGTGCAAACAGAGTGGACCTTCTCACTCTAATGTGGTTCCTTTCCACACTCCTGAAAGCAGTGCTTGGCCTCTGCTCCTTGAAGAAGATTTTTGCAAGCAAGTCATGGTGCATATGGCCCAGTTGGTCCTCAGGAACCGTCTCAGCAAGTCTGGCGCAGCTGATTTTCTACAGGCGGCTTGTGAAAATGCTATATTGCTTTCAAAAATATGGAGCACCACAGATAGTACATCCACTGTGTCCAGAATGGTGGAACAGATCCCTCACACTCGTGAGGCAGTTTTTAACCGTCTGGGACTCAACCCCGAAATAATCACACAAGCATGCTGCAAAAAGTGTTTTGCTTTGTACCCGCTGGACAATTGTGAACACCCCTGCCTGGAAAAGTGTAACCAGGCCTTCCTATCTTCATATCAGACATTTTGCAAGTGGGCGAAAGAGCAGGATATGAAACCAGAATGTAACCAGCACCTGCTGAAGCCAAATCAAAAAAATCAACTCCAGCCATTGCGTACATTCAGCTATATGAAACTGGAGACTTGGCTCAAGGCACGACTTTTGGAATCCCACTTTGAGACTCTACTCAATTCCAGCCTGAGTGCTCAACATCAAAGTTCTGATGGGATTATGGAGGATGTGTGGGATGGAAAGGTGTGGCTAGATTTCCCGGAGACAGACCAAGGAGATGGGATCTACACCAAGACTTCTGGAAACCTTGTATTCAGCCTCTATCTGGACTGGTTCAACGCCAAAGGATCATCTAACCTTGGTTTTCACAACTCTGTTGGTACAATTACACTAATATTCTTGAATCTGCCACCTGGTCAACACTACAAGGTCGAGAACATTTTCCTTTTTGGCGTGATTCCTGGCCCCAAAGAGCCAAGTCTAGAACAAGTCAATCATCTGTTGCTACCATTAGTCACAGAGCTTCAGTCTTTTTGGAAAGGAGTCCGATTTGAATCCACTGCATCACATCCAGAGGGCCGAGTCATCCGTGCTGCAATTTTCCCTCTGATTGCAGACCTTCCTGCACTGCGCAAAACAGCCGGCTTTGGAAGTCACGCAGCAACCTTATTCTGCTCCTTTTGTCTGACGGATAAGAAGGACATCGAACAAATAGATCCAACCGAATTCCCGGAACAAAACAACAAGCAACATCTACTTCATGCAAAAGAGTGGTTGGAACTTGATAACTACCAGGAACGCAAGAAATTCATGAAGGAACACGGTGCAAGATGGAGTGTTCTTAATCGCTTACCCTACTGGCGCCCGGTAGAATATTGCTCAATTAAGCTTATGCATGCGCTGATTCTTGGTAACTTGAAAGATCACAGCATGCCGTTCCTGTACTTACCCTCGGCCGCAAAACAGCTAATGAAAACTCAACAGAAGGAGGAAGAATGGCAGCTTGATGATCACTTTACGTCACTTCCATTCACTGACTTGTTTCCAACTGAACCAAAGAAGACGGGCAAGCGGAAGCGCAGTGAAGAGCCTGATGATTCAACTGCAAAACTCAGACCACACAAGAGAGGGAGAAATTCACAAGCAGTGCCTTCCCTCAAAGGGAAAGAACGTGGACATCAAGCTGACTCTAGATCTGACTCTTGAGCCTCCTCCGAACAAAGCTCTCACACGACACAAGGAAGCCACTCTTACAATTTGTGTGTTTGCAAGCAAACAGTTTACAATGAATGTGACAATACTCCAGATACTGAACACTCAGAAGATGAACGTCATAGTGATTGCACTGAGAGGGGACCCAGGAGAGACAAGACTTTGACACCACTGGGAAAGGACGGTGGTATCTCACATTGATTGAGGCCTGGTGAGCTTGAGGTGGTCCGGAGTTTGACATCTCTGGGAAAGGACGGTGGTATCTCACATCGATTGAGGCCTGGTGAGCTTGAGGTGGTCCGGAGAACACTGATCCCATCTTGGATTGACCGGGTTCCCCTTAATTTAGGAGCTGCAAGTCATGGCTCCCTCAAGGCTGCAGAGTGGCTCATTCTCTACAAAGTTTACTACACGATTGCATTAATTCCTGTCTGGAAGAAAGCTTACGCCAAGTGTGCAACTGAAGAAGAAAAGGAGCGGGTATCTGCATTGCTAGAATCTACAACTCTTCTTTAAAGGATTTCTCATTTCCTCACATTGCCAAAGATCCACCCCAAAGATTTACCAGAACTTGATGACTTGATAGTGAAATACAGAAGATGTCTCCACGAAGGGTGGCCCCACGAATCATCAAAGCTAAATCTATATCTGACACAGCACTATTCTAACGTCATCCGGAACTTTGGTCCACCTAGATCTACAGCAGCATGGGCTCAAGAACGGGTTAATGGGATGCTACAAAAGTTACCAACAAATCACCACCCAGGTCAGTTGCTCTGTTTATCTAATTTCTATTTTGAAGATGTTGAGCTGATAAGGTCTACGTTGTGATATACCTTAAGGGTAGCCATCTGGCCCATTTAAAAATTTTAAAGTTTTTTCTTTTATTACAAATTACATACTTTTTACACCTTTTTTCTCATATATACACTCACAAATCACCCAATATGGCTCAAGAACTGGATTCTACGGTCAATTTCACCCTTGGTCACCACTGGAGGCGTCACCGGAACTCAACTGGATTGGAAGCTACACCCTCTGGACCATCACTACACTCAATTACACAACTCACCACCATGGCAACACTTCAACACTCAACAACACCAAAAAATTACACAACTCACACTATACATATGTACATTGTAGGACAATTACATACACTCTCACACCATTATAGTACATGTATACACACCACTCCACTATCTTCTGACAGTTGACACATGCAGTGTTGGTCTGGTACCACTCTGGATTTACAAGTGACATCATGCAGGTTGTCATGTCATTTGTTAATCTTCCTTGCAGCTGTCAGACAATCTCACACCACTCATGTAATACTCATCACCTCACCTTAGCTTGCAGACTAGTACATCACCTCATGTAAAATGCTACACCAGCATAAAACCCTCATATAGACTTCTAGTTCAAACTAAAATAACTCTTATGACATCATGTAGGTGGCTCAACCAGCCAAAATACCTCATCTGACTAGCTAAATCCCCTCATTGTAAAGCTCTGGCCAGCTAAAATCTCTCATTCCCTTGTTCCCCTGAAGCTAAAATCCCTCACCTTTGTGTATTTAAGAGGCTCTCCTCTCAGTTGTTTTCCCCTCAGTTTAGTATCCACCTATTTCATACCCCCTACCATTACAAACCCTTACATACCATTACATACCATCCCATTACATTGAAATATCAGCTAGACTCACTCTCTCACTCTCAAATCAACCTTTTAGACCCTTATAAAACTGGGTTAAACCCTTTGTCCACCTGTTAAGCCACAGTTATCTTTTGATACACTCCACTATCACTTTATTAAACCTTCCAATCTGAGATTGGTGGGCTTGTCTAGTGTCTAGTGATCCAGGAAAGGCAGAGGTATCCTCATTCATCCCTTTCCACACTCAGCAAAAGGTTTTCACAAACACTTTTGAGCTTTACAACGTCTTGAGATTAGCCGAGATACCAAAAACACTATTGAAGAAGTGGCACATAAATTCCACACTCCAACTGACTATCCGCGGGGCAGAAGAAAAGAAATACCAATTGGAAGGCACAACGGTTCCACAGAAGGTCAAGGCCAACTTGCAACTCAATACACAAATGATAAAAAAGTGGGAGCGAGCTATCGCCGGGAAAGAAACATCCAGAGGAAGGCTTGGTGAAAATCCAACTGAGCTTGATTCAACGGTGCCGACCCTGATGACAATAAAAATCAAAGGGAAGAACTTCAGCTCAGCAAATCACCATCTTGGAAATTCTTATATTGAGTTTTTGTTTGGTACAGACCAAAGATTTGGTACCATCAAAAATATCTTCCGCTCCGACCAAACACCCGGAAGAACATGGATAATTGTCAATCCTTTCAAAGAACCGGACAAGAGTGAAGATCCTTATAACAAATACCCTGACCTGAACTGCAGACTGGTTTGAGATGAGTTTGAAGTTCCTGTTATTGTGGAGCAGGAAAAAATTATTGGACATGTGGCGGTCCTGAAGAACCCAGAGGGAACATTTGGAATCGGAAGTAAGACTGTTACAGCTGTTGGATTAGGTACAATGGTGAGTTATGCCCTTGTGATTTGCTCTGTAGCCCTTTGCTGACATGTTGTTTGTCCAGGGATGGGAAGGGCTTGATATGTGAGATCAATGCATATCATGTTTCTTCTTATTTGTTTATGATTGAAACAGTGAGAATGAGAGGATTCCCCTTTGATTTCACTACTTTTTAGTGCTTGTTTTTCCTGTCTTAATCACGGCAGCAAGATTTGGTTGTGTATATAGTACACTTAAGTCTTACTTAACCCAAGATCAAGTCTCCTGCTCACCTGTTTTCAAATCACTCTGAAATTGATCTCCCCATCCTTGATTAAGATATATTCTCCTTCAATTATGAGTAATTCCAATTCCTTACGAATACATCACCCGGAAACTAGTCCATAAATTGATTTCTAAGATGAATACAGAGCCTCCAGACGTGGAGCCTACGGGGCAGGCCGGTCAAAGTACTAGTCTTGGTGGAGGTGAACAGGGAGGACAGAGTGGAACACCGGATGGAGGAGATGGAGAAGGCGAACACAGCTGGATATCTACAATAATTGACAAGATCATTCCTAACCTCCCTGGTGCCGGTAACCGCAATACATCTGCTGGGAATACTGCTCCCATGGGTGAGTTGTGCTCTTGAAACTTTTTTCATTACTGAAAATAAACTGATCTTGTACATATTGGGGTTTTCATCTTCCAGACTCGCAGCCTTCAGGAACGCTCAACACTGATGGGATGACTGACCAATCAAGATTAGATCCTGATATTGTCATTGAGCATGCCAGAGGGGCAAGAGCTAGTGTGGAGGAAAGAGGGAATCAGATTCGTGAGGAGCGCCGGGCCCGCGGAATTGCTAAGAAGGCAACTCTCAATGAGCATTGCAACAAGTATTCTCGTGGGATCCAACACTTTATTAAGTTTTTCCTGGGAGGACCTACGATACCGCAGGACTATCCCCAATCGCCGACCTCGGAAGAACTAGAGGCTCTATATTGGGTGGACCAATGATCAACAATCATCATTGAACAACTTGAATGGTTGCGTTCCAGTCTCTCCGCAAGATCTACCGCAGAACAAGATTTCTTCTTAGCACAGGCTGAGAAGGAAATACGTAAGAATATTCCTCTGCCTACATTCCACACGGCTCCCAGGAAAGGTGTTCTCAGCGGAGGAAGGCCAATCAGTACCCAAACAAAGGCGGATGTGGAGAGAGCACTTGCCTTGGCCAGAATCTCCAGATTTACGTTCGAGTGGAATGTTCCCCGTGATGAGGATTTGATTTGGAACTCTGCTGTGATTGAGGTGATGGGAAAGAAATTGGTGGAATGGCTTGGGCGGTCGATAAAGATAAATGAGGAGGAGGCCGGACAAGCGGCTGCAATCATTAAACGGTGGCTTGAAACTAAATCACGAGAGATTCAACAATACGGGAGGCATGAATTAGGGAGGAGTATACTACTCTGAAGTCGCAAAAGGCGACAAAAGCTCTTTTGCAGAGGTGGCGGAAGAAATTAAGTCTAATTCCACCTAATCAAGTGATTTTAGGTTTTCCTATAAATCACAGAGGCTGATATTTTTCTGAGGGAACAGATCAAGGAGCAGCGGTGTTCAATGGCTGATAAGGTCTTTCGTGATATTCCTCAACTGGCTGTTGTACTCGAGGACAACGACTGCCACTCCGACATTGAAGAAGGATCTGGCGGAAATAACCCTGTTAGTCTGTTTCCGCCTTGGAGGAGTGTCTCTCTTACCAAAATACTCCACAATCTTGATTGAATGTTCCAAGCACAAGCCACACATCACAAAACAATCAAGACAAACAAGAAGATGTATGCACGTTCGGCACGGAACCATGCAAAGACGGTTGGCGGAGCTATTGGGGTTTCACGGGATTGGCCGATAGATTGCTATGATCAAGCTTTTTGGAAAGGTCTTAGTAAATTCAAGCAGGACACTCTCTCAAAGACTCCGGCAATCAAAATCACAGATATTGCTGAAGTCTTGGCTGGACTTTGCCGCAAAGGTAGTAACACTCAGCCTAGCGGTCCATCAGACACAAGCGCATCATCCCGGGGTCAGAAACAATTGCAGCTTCACGAAGCAGCGGGCAGTGACGCTGGACCCAGTCGGCCAATGAATGTTGATTAAATTAGAAAATCAGGCAACATAGTACATAGTGTTGTTTGTTTGTTTTGTTGGATACCGGGAATGTGCCTCAAATCTATTATTTGTTTCTGAATTTTCCCCTTAGCCTGTATCTTGGCTGTTTAAGTGTCTATGCCTGATTTGTCACAGGCTTATGGACTGGGTTGGTGAGTGTGGATCAGTGTTTGGGGTGATTTTGGGGTTGTGCCCTGCCAAAGCAATGTCACCAAAACGTACGCGCGTACGTTTTGGTGACACAAGGTACACAACGAAGTGTAATTTTCACAGGTGCCTCTGGCAGTAATTCATCACCAATAAGTGCAAACTACTAACAAACATCAGTCCAAGGCCAACTTAACTGCAGATGAAGTGTTGCTTAAGTGGATAAAAAACCACGCTTACACCACTGTTCATCTGCTGTTGTGACCACATTGAGGCAAGATTGTCCCAAGCGGGAACCTCAGTCAGCTCAACAGACACGTGCAAGCGACAATAGATATACACTGTTGCCTTGAGGAATGCACTGTAGCAACCTGGTATTGGAATGTGACCACCTCCAAGCCTTCAAACTAAGACACAGTATCTATCCATATGACATCAGCTGTGTAACTTTAAAAGGATAAACACTGAAAGTTGATGATGTGCTCCTTTGTCTACAACGTTCAGCCTTAACCTAGCAAATCCTTTGTTAGACCAAAGTACACAGCTGATACAATCAATGGGTAGATTGTGGGTGAACACACCCACTTTATTGACCGGTGTGCGGTTCTCAATTGCAGCATAAAAGAAGGCACTCTTCCCACCTTTTTACTCACTTCCCCCCATCCAATCAATTTCCCTCACATCACAATATTTATTTAATCGCCTCCATCCATTATCCCAATCTCCACAAATTAAATTCCAACACACCAACTCAATGAATTCTGAGACCCCAAACTCGGTCAACCCGACCAGCTTACCCTCTCAACAAGATGCTTCTCCAGAGGATCCTCCTACACCTCCACCAAGTGTTTTTCACCCTCCTTGTTCCTCAGATCAATCTTACTGACCCATTCAATTTGATAGGTTCACAGGTTTTGGCGCAGAACTTCCCTGGTCAGCTGTTGACAGCCCCAACTTTTGAAGAGTTTTCAATGTCAACAAAG